AAACCGCACCTTGATTGGGAATAACAGATTTAACAAGTGGGCCCTCACCCGGCGAGGATGTTCAGCATTTCGGGGCCTGTCGCCTGTCCCCAGGATCCCCACTGCTGATCCTCCTTTACTGTAACGACAAATAAATCTGTCAAGCAAGCTGCCGACTCCCTAATACACCATCGCTTGTCTTTACTAGCGGAGTGGACAATCTCGTACCTTCGTGCGAGTTCTTGTTCCCGCCACGTGTCCGCAGACGTGGGCTTAGTGGATTTCCCTCGGCACCCGCCAGAGAAAACTAGGCCGCTCGCGTTCTTGGTATGATATGCGCATTGCCCAGCAAATGCAGCCAATTCGGCCGCGGTACCGCCCGCAAGGTGGGCCCTCGCAAAAAAGCCATAGCAGTCATGAGTGTCAGGCATGTTGAGTCCTTCACGTGTGCTCCTCATGACTTTGCCCGTTTTCAAAATTCCGATAGCCGACAAAAGGGTGGTGCCATGGTACCAGCGAACGTGAGTGTCGCCCGTGGCTTGAATGGACACAGGACCTGGCATGTCACTGAATGACAGTCTCCAAATGATGGTCTCTTCGGAATCAATCCAAGCAGGAATTGGTGTGCGGATGCGGCGTTGGTAATCAATACCGCTGGCGGTCAGTGCGATCACTAAATTCTGCATGACCGCGGGGGACTGCGGGAACTCCGTAAGGGTGAAGTCCAAATGACACATCACCCAATTTAAACATTCGACAAATGGCGGAGCGGCGCAAAAGCGAGTGAGGGCCACCTCTGGCTGGAGCCATTCGGTGCGGCCTGCAGCTGTCGCAGTTTGATGCGGAGGTGGAATCCGAAATTCGGACCCCCGGGTTTGCTCCTCTAAGGCGCTGTACAAGTCTCGGGTGGTCAACTTGGCGAGGGCTGTACTTGTTGTCAAAGCATCGGTGCGTCCTCCTGAAGCATCGTTGGCCGATGTCTTACGGAGGCGGCTATTGGACGGAGTGTCATCTCGAGGATGCTGATCCTGAGATGCTGTCGCCTGTACACTGGCCGGAGGAGCAAGCGCGAGAGAGACCGTGCGTGGAGAGGCAGCTGCTCCGGGGTAGGGAGGCGGCGTTTCAGCCCGGGCATCCATCAAATTGGGGACTGCCTGACACGGTCCATGCGGGCCTCGAGAGTCTGGATTGCCAGATGTCTGGCGTGTTGGTCGTGCCGGCGGGTGCGCAGGCTCCGCTGGTCTCGAATTTGCATGCACGGGCGGAGGTGTTCGAGGCGGCGGACCGGGCTGAATTCTCGGACATGGTACAGGAGGTGGGCGGTGACTGCACATTGGCGGCCACGGAGTCTGCTGATAGGGTGATACACCCAGACCAGGCGGAGGCAGAGGCGGAGGAGCTTCGTAATGCGGTCCTGGCACCGGCGGTGCAGGGCAGCTGCTTGAAAAGTTCAAGGCCGCTGAGGACTGCGCGTGCGAAGCGAGCGGAGCAGGAATCACAGGTGGTGCAACTTGTCCGAAAGTTGCCGGACTAGGCTGTACAGGTGGCCAAGGTTGCACCAGGTGGTAACGATGCGTGTCCCCTGTTCGGGGATTCTGCGGTGCGGGCTGACTCTGCTGGCTCGGCTGACTCGGCTGACTTGGCCGGCTCGGCGTGGGATCGTAGGGATCCGACATCGGAGGGCGAGGAAACAGTGAAACATTTCCGGGTGGTCCTGCGGGTCTATCTTGGCTCCAGCGGGGATCCAGACGGACTTCCGAATTAGTGCGCTCGGGTCGTCTGCGACAGTCTCTGTGGGTCTTGCGACCTCTGGATCGGGAGCGGGACCTGCGTGGTGTCCGCCTGCGGTGCCTGCGCTGTCGAGATCTCGATCTTCGGGATCTCGACTTCTGTCGCTGGGAAGCTGGGGTCAAGGTGACCGCTCGGGCAGGCTGGGGGTCAGTCGGATTAGCATCCGGCAGGACATGCATGCGGATAGTCCCCGAATTAGGACGAGGCGGAGGCACTGGATGCGAGTGGTGCATCGGTTCCATGTTTCCGTAGAAATGGAACGAGTAGTGCGACATGTCGAATTGCACAGCGGTAGCAAACCTTGTATATGGTTCGTACAAGGAGCCAAATAGCTGCGGATCTGAAATCAGGTCAGAGTCATGGAGGGCCTTGGTGAGGCTCAAACTCTCGTGCACTTATTGGCTAATTGATTCGTCCGTAGGAGCTGTTCGTCGAAAGTCATTCGTTGTAAACTTTTCGTTGTAAACTTTTCGTTGTAAACCGAAAGGAATGATTCCAGATGAGTGCCTGCAACGCAGGCAGGATGAGATGCAGTAATGATGGGGTAAACTGGCCTGTCAAGTAGGCCACGACCATACGTTGTAAACAGCGATCGTTCCCGTGTAAACGTGCCAGAAAGGCTCCACCATATCAACGGCTCTTGTCTAGTGAGATAAACAGGGTTCTCTAGCAGGCAAGCTGCTAGGACTGCGCACTTTGACAGAAAGCACAGCCAGACACACTGGGAATG